CAGTGGTGTGGACGCATAATCCAAAAAACCCTTTTCCTTCTTAACTCACTTTTGGCCATGGTGTTTTACCACAGCAGTAGCACCCCTAACTAGGACAGAGTGTGTGGCACTGTGAATTTTGACAAATGCTTGGAAATGCCCATCGGAGTCCCTTGTGCAGCTTCTTTGTAGTTCAGCCTTTCATTCTTTCCCCGTGACCTCTCATGATAACTGATGTATTTGCTACCCCTGTGGGTTGTCTTTTTCTGAATGTCAAATAAATGGGATCATACAATTCAGTCTGGTTTCTCACACGCAGTTTAGTGCGCCCAATGTTATCACATCTGTCAGTAACTCATTCTTTTCATTGCAGAATGGGTGATACTCCATGTGTCTTTAGCTAGATTTGGTTTTGTTTTGTTTTGTGAAGACATGGTCCAGGATACTCAAGGGATTGCTTTGCCTCGGGTTCCTGAGTGATGGGAATACGGGCATATGCCACCGTGCTGAGCCATATCATAAGTTTTAGAATTCTGAATTCTTATTCTTGTCTATGGTTTAGGTATTTTTGGGTTGTGTTCAGTTTGGGGTGACTATGAATAAACCTAACATAAATATTCATGCATAGATCTTTATGCATGTATGAATCAAAGTTTTCACTTCTCCTGGGCAAATACCTAGAGGTGAGGCTGCTAGGTCACAGATGAAGCATATGCTTAGCTGTGTGAAACACCGCAAAGCATCGCCCAGAGTGACTGCTTATTGCAACTGCACTCTCAGCAGCAGTGGGAGGTGTTCGGGGGCTGCGTGCCCTCTGCTCCTGCTGTCACCAGTGCTCGCCTCTGCCTTATGCTTGCGTGATCGTACCGCACTGTGGGCCGAGCACATGTCTTTCCAGTGAGTGGTGAGGTTGCATATCTTATCAGGTGTTGGTTTTGCTCCTTTTAAAAGCAGACATGTTTCTTCCCATCATCTGAGAGTTCTTTGGATGCAAGTCATTATTAGCAGCGGGGGAAGGGGGCCTGTGCCCTCCGTGATGCATGCAGAGACCTGAAGATAACTTCCAGGAGGCTCTTCCCTCCTTGCACCCTATTGGGACAGGCTCTGTCTCTTATGGTTCCTGCTGTGCTGAACACTCCAGGCTCACTGGCCTAGGCCCTTCAGGCTTCCTCGCCTCTATCCCTCATCTCACTGTAGAAGTGCTGGGATTACCAATGCGCACAGCTACATACAGCTTTAATTTTAAAAATCCGCATTCTGGGGATCAAACTCGGGTCATCGGGTTTGCCCAAAATGTATTTTTACCCACTGGGTCATCTCACCAATCTCTGGTCACGGATCTTTCCATCTACATACGATTGTGGAAGATGCATTCTGGTTGCCCATCGCTGAGTTTGGTCAGCATGAGGAGTCGGTCCTGAGAGGCTGGCCACTTTTAGATATCCTGATCCAACTGGATTTCTCTATCCCTCTGTTGAGGACGGAGCCGGCCTGTGGTAACTACTATGAAGCTCACGCCAGAAAGTCTCACCTGAGGGTTCAGCCACCTGTCTCTTCCTGCTCAGAAGAGGAAGGAAGAAAGTCAGCTGTGAGAATGGTCATAGAGATGGGAAGGAGACAAAAAAAGAAAGAAAGAAAGGAAAGAAAGAAAGAAAGAAAAAAGAAAGAAAAAGGGAGGGGTGTTTTGAGAGAGAGGGATGCTGAGAGAAAGAGTGCTGAATAGGAAATGTGCTAAAGCAATGTTCTAACTTAGCTGCTTCTCGTCAAAAGTCAGTGTAAGGTCTTGCTGGCTAGAGGGCACAGGATGGACCATCCTGGGTGCTTATTCAGTACAGGACAGTTCCATGGCTGAGACACAGTATCAGCAGGTATCTGGGGGTGCTTTTCTTTTAAAACAAAACAAACAAACAAAAACCTTCCAACTGCTGGTAAGACACAGTGGAATATTTTTCTTTGCTGCAGAAAGATACAACCTGCTTTTTTCTTTGTGCCCCAAATGAAGATTGAAACAAACACCTCCCCCCCCATCCCTTTCCCCTAAGACACTAAGGCAAACTGAACTCCAGGATCAGAAAAACAGTCGGTGGTTCCAGATACTACCAGACAAAGAAAACTGGAAGATTCTGTGTAGGGTCCAGTGAGGACTACATTTAATGGCTTTCTGAAAGAAAGGGGAAAAAAAAAAAAAGCGTTTTCTTTCGGAGCCAAACTTCTTAAAACTAAAATAAACATCAGAGGTTTCACATAACCGCCTGCCTATGAGCTTACTCTGCCAGGCTTACCATCTGTCTGCTGGTAGGAAGCAGATGACGCTCCAGCCACCAAGCCACCGCCCCCCTCCACCTGGCCCTGTCTCCCTGGTTCCCCTCCAGCTACCTTTGAGGTTCCCGCCACATTCCTTACGCTGACTCTCGCCCACCTGTCTCTGCCTGGTGAAGATAGCCTTGGGTGTGGTTCATCTTGTTGAGCTGCTTCGGCTTGATCATACATCTTGTGTCTGCACTGAGTTCTGCTCTAACTGCAAAACAAAACCAACAAAAACCCCAAAATCAAGCCCAAGTCTTTCCTCCTCCTGGCTGGTCACCCAGCTTCTTAACAGATCTTGGAAGTAGGTCACACACCTAACCGGGGGTGGGGTGGGGAAATGAGACGTTCTGGAGATGGAACGGAGCTGGTTGGAACTCCGTTCTCCCCGTCCCGTCAGGTGCGCCTTCAGTGGGCTACACTCAGTTTTCAGGTTGACTCCCATTAGCCAAGGTCTTTAAGGTCCCGGGAAGTCGGGTCCATCCACAGCCCACTCCAACACCCCTAGAGGCCAGGGAGAACTCTCACCCACCAAGTGGGTCATGGGAGGGATGAGTCCCCGTGCCTAGTGCACATGCTCCTGGAATGTTCCTCATGGAGCCTCCGGGTCGCTCCTCCTTTGCCGATCCTTGCTTTTGGCTTAAGCCTGCTCTGGGATGTCTTGAGTCCTGCTACCAGCCCCGACCTCCTTCCATTTAAGAACAAAAGGAAACCATTCTCTGAGCCCCCGCACGTGTCTCCCACCCCCGTAGTCTTCATTGCTAGTTCCTGCTGTTGCCACTGTCAGGAGTGGAGTTTTGGGTAATTGTTGCTATGGAGACCCTGTCTTGCCTTATTGTACAAATGTGTCCCATCTTTCTCCTTATTTGGTATGGGATATGAATGCCTGGGAAATGTGGAAGCTGACAGCTCTTCATGATTCTTGCTTGTTCTCCAGCTTGCTTAGCCTGGGCCAAAGCCTCTGGGCATCCAGCTCCCCACTCTTGTCTCCTCTAAGCCTCCTGATTGGTTACCGACAATGGAAAGAGTCCTGGGCAGCTGAAGTCCCTGTTCTCTGTGGGACATGGGTGGGACATCCAAAGGTAATGACCCTTAGCACAACTGGCTTCTGGATGATGAGCAACCCCCTCCCCACAGCCTACTGGGGAAACAAAGCCTGTATAAAAATTGAGTTATTCAGATGAACCCCAGTTTTTCCTGTTTCCAGAGGCACACCCCATACCAAATCTCTGTTGCATTGCCCAGATGAGCAGCTCGCCTGTCTCCCACATGCTCTTCCTCCCACGTGCAGATGTCTGGATCATTAGCACTATTTTTATCATGTCTCTCTCCTGTCCAAGGCCTAGTCCATCTCCCCATTGATTTTCTACCAAAGCAGATTGGAACCGCAGGCAAGCAGTCCCCTCCCATACACACAAGGCAGCCTCTGCACCCTCCGGGGCTTGGTCCTGATCCCCTTCACTCTCTGCTCTTGGTGGCTCAGGAAAGCTCTGCTCACGCATGCCCGCTGGACACCTCAGCCCTGCCGACATCTGCCACCTTCATGTAATCTTCTTCTCCCTGCTCCTGGGCTTTCATCGACTCTCTGAAAACTCCTCAGCTTCCGGAAGACCCCCTGTTGGCATTCTCTCTGTGCGGCTGCTGTTGAAATGGTTTTAGTCTTTTGGAAAGGTACAGGGGCCAGAAACAAGGTGGCTTAATCAACAGCACAGGGCATTCCCATCCAGAAGCCATAGGCCCCAGACACGCAAGGGCCTCCTTTCATTTGTCTACTGGGACCCGACAAACTTCACAATAAAGGGAGCCGTTGTCACACAACAGTAAATAGATAGATAGATAGATAGATAGATAGATAGATAGATAGATAGATAGATAAATAATAAATAGGTAGGTAGGTAGGTAGATAGATAGATAGATAGATAGATAGATAGATAGATAGATAGATAAGAGACAGAAGAAAGCTCTATAAGCAGAATCCTGGGGGCTGGAAAGATGGCTCAGTTGGCAAAGATCCCAACTCTTAAGGCTGCTAACCTGAGTTTAGTCTCTGGGACCTACATGGTGGAAGGAGAAGGCTCACTTTTGCACATCGTCCCCACCGCCTTAATGAGTATGTAGAAAACAAAAATAAAAAAAACACGCAATTTTTTAAAGGAACCCTGGTTACATAGGGAGGGCATTTTTGCATATACCGGCTGCCTACGAGGAGACAGGGCCTGAGTTTGAATAGTGCAGGAGTCATCGGATAATGAATTCTGGCTTACAAATAGTCCTTGTGGGCTGTTGGTCATTTTCCTCTAAAGGAGAAAATGGCCCCCTTGATGCTAATTGCTCATTCTCCCTTCTTCCCATTCTGTCTCTGCAGGCTTGTAGTTCAGGCTCCATGTTTTCTTAGGTTGGCATTGACACAGAGACAGAGCTAGATGATTCTAGAGGGCCTCTAGTCTGATGTGAGTAGAGCACCTAGGCCCCAATCTAATAGGGGAGCCCTACCCACAGGGCACCCCTAGTCTGAAGGGAAAGACACCCCAAATGCTCCAGTCCAGAGAGGTCTCTGCTCACCGCTGGGTGGGACTCTGGGGAAGACAAAGTACCCAAACGGTTCGTGGAACTAGGCACAGCTGGGTTGAACTCTGAAAAAGAGTGAGTCATCGCTGGGGATGTAGCTCGTTGGAAGAGTACCTGCCTAGGATGTGTAAGGTCCTGGGCAGGGTCCAGCAGCCCAGGAAAGATGTCAGATCAGAATAATCGCAAAGACAGGATGGTGGAGTCAGGCATGATGTGGCAGGCTCCCTGGAAGCCTGAGCACTGAAGGAAGGGTTCGGTGAAGAAGGCCGGGCCATGCACTGCTTCAGAGACATCCGTGGTCTGAGACCTAGGCAGATAATGGAAGAGTTTGTTCTTTAATTGGTCTAGTTTGTATGTAAAAGTCTTTTCAAACTCTTGCCTGACTTTTATTATGAATTTGGTCATTTGAAGAACTATCTATGGCCTGTCATCCCTGCACTTAAGCATCTTATTGTATGGATTAGCTCACAGCATGGAGGGCAGACACTGGTGAACACATGATTTGAGTCTTGGGAGGTTTCCATTCAAGCCTCTTTCAGTGAAAGAAAGAAACCCAGTGTGGGCCTGTTGGGCCAGGAACAGGAAATGCCATCCGTCCATGCTGGGACAGCCCAAGCTTCCAGCAAGAGTCTTGATGCAAGAGTCTCATTAATGCAGTCCACACTCTCTCCTCCCCTCACTCTGGCTCCAGTGCAGCCCCTGGTGAGCTTCACTGTCAGGTCGCCTCTTACACGACTGAAATGAAACCGCTCGGGTTGGGGTGCTGTGGATCTTAGAAGCGTCAGTTAAGGTTAGGGTAAAAGAGGTCACACCAACTGAGTTTGTGCCCAGACATCTGTCCCAGCAACTTCTGTCCAAGTTTTTTTTTTTTTTTTTTTTTACCAGAACTAAGTGGCATGACAACTCCTAGCTGTTTTTTGTTAAGTAAGTACCACAGAGAGAACTGACAGTTGTTAAAGAGCCAGCAGTGTCCACAGGAGTACCAGAGGAAATTCTGTTAGGCCCTGTACGTTCATGTGGTCATCTTTAAGCCAACCTCTGTGACCTATTGATTGATTGGCCAGACTCTTATCATCTGAAGAGGTGACTCTAGCTGGCCTATGAAATAGGATTTCCATATGATGTCACCAGCAGACAGGGATCAGGACTTGTATGCTGGGCAGATAAACAACATATGCTCACTAGAAGAATTTTTCAGCAGAGAAAGAAAACATACCAAAAAATAACTTCAGAAAATAAATAGCTTCAGGGATCTCCCCCCTCCTTGGCACAATATACCATAAGGCAAGTCGTGTTACAGGGACTAAATATAGCCACTGTGAGAAGACAGGGGGGAAATTATTTAGACAGGAAGATTTCTGGTGGGAGGGAATTTGGAGCTGGGTTGTGAAGGAGATGATGTGTAAGAGGAAGGGCAGAGAGGCAAAAAACGAGGTGCAGAAGCCAGGAAGAGGGTTACCTGGGGCTTGAGAGAGGGGTGGTGGGCCCTGAGCATCTCCACATCTCCTCTCTGAAGGCATCAGGGCCTTTCTTTTCCAAGTGGGTCTATAACTGGCTTTGCCGTAGTCCCGGTTAGCAGCACTCTTATGGCGTTGGACACTGAGCAGGGGACAGGGAGGATCTCTAATATTGAGGTCCAGAAGAGAGGAGGGATGTGGCTGCAACGTGGAGAGCAGAGAGCCCCTGGGAGCTAGTTTCTAATCCAATTAAGAAGCAATCATGTGGACGTATTCAAAGGCTGGGCAGTTAGCAGGCACGTCCCAGGAGACGCTCTCTGGCAGCTTGACAGTTCACTGCTAAACCTGGGCTCTGGAGCTGTGGGTTGGTACAGCAGCTGGGCGAGGAGCCCGGGCTCAGACAGCTGGGGTGGAAATCTTTTAAGGATGAACAGAATGGGTAAGGAGCTTGCCGTTGTCATGGAAACTAACTCTGGGAAGATGAGACACGGCCCAATGGGTAACTGAAAAGAATACCACCCACTACTAGGCTTCCCTGTGGGCGGCCGGCAGGCACCTCCAGGACCTGCTATTCTGGCCAGCTTAGGGGTGGTGTCTATCTCTGCCTGCCTCCTAGGGACACCCAAGTCTGGCCATGAGAGTGACTTGAGGGATCTAGAGAGATGCTTTGAAACCAGAAAAACCTTTGACATGCCTCCTACTTCCCCAAGTTACCTGTGCTGAGCAGGAACATTGCACAGAGCTAGGCTGTAGAAACTGTGGCTATCACCAGGGTCCCGGGCTAAGGCTAGGACAGGATGTCCAAGGCAGTAGGATAAAGTGGTAGGAACCACGGATGCCAGAAATGTTGTTTCCTCTCTGCGTCCAGCTCTGTCACCCTGACTGGCTAGGTAGCCCTTGACAAGTTGTCTTTCCCTCCAGAAGTTTCCTGTCAATCACACTGATCCTGTTCTTATTTAGAACTGGATGTATTTGTTCTCATCGGCCTCTTCTCTCAGCCCTCTAAACTCTCCCACCCCTGCACAGAGTATCCTCCAAGGATCAGGTCTGGGCTCTTCTCAGGCCAGATGCTGGGGCAGCCCCTTCCTGCTGGCCTTTGTGTGAGTGTCTGCACTCACACAGGGAGGCTCCAGAGCTCACAGTACCCTTATTGCCTGTGGACATGAGCCCAACAAGTGGCCTGTTGCAATCACACTTCCATTTTCAATAGGTGCTATTTTAACTGGGCCTTTCCCTGGGACAGGCATGAAGAAAAAAGCAATTTGCAGCACAGGCTTTTGGCTCTGGCACAGAGCACACACTTGGCAATTTCAGTTTCTCCACACTCCCTCTCCTCTATTCCTCTTCTCCTTCCTGGCCCTGTTGCTCACTGAGCCTCAGCATTTCCCCAAGTAGTGGCCTGCTGCCCACCCTACAAAGAGCAGCAGAGAGCATGGGCTATGGTCCAGGAGAAAGGAAAAACAATCCAAAAAATCCTTCCAGGAGGCCACGGATAGGAAAGAGAAGTGGGAGGGGGTGTGTGTGCAGTACCAGCTCCTGTGGACTCTCTCAAAAAGGCAACAACTGAAAGAGAGGACCTCAAGTTCCTGTAGTAAGAAAGTGAGGCACTGGAGAGATGGCCCAGTGGTTAAGGGCACTTGCTACTCTTGTGGTGGACCAGAATTGGGTTCCCAGCAGCCATGCTGGGTAATACACAATCATCTCTAACTGCAGCAAAAGATCTGATGCCCTTTTCAGGCTTCTGAAGGCACACGCGCACACACACACACACACACACACACACACACACACACACACACACGCGGAGATTTCTAGCTTACCTTTTGTCTTTATCCCATGAATACTCCAGGGGGCCTTCTGACACCCTTGTAGGATATTCTCTCTCTCTGTCTCTCTCTCTCTCTCCAGGTATCTTGTTTGCATGTACATCTATGTACCACATGTGTCTGGTGCCCTCAGAGGTCCTAGGACTGGAGTTACAGACAGTTGTGGGCCATGCTGTGGGTGCTAGGAATTGAACCCGGGTCCCCTTAAAGAGCAGCGGCTCTTCCCTGCCGGGCCATCTCTCTGGTCCCTACCCCTCTTCAGCATCTGCAGCTTACTTGTTTCAATTAATGCATGTCAAGTGCCTGATGTGTGCAGGGGCCATGGGAATGGAGGAGATGGATACAGCAGTCCTCTCTCCACGCTCCACCCTAAGCCCAAGTGCCCACTGCAGGATCTTACGCAGAGTACACCGCTTCACTCAGCCCTCCCTCTACCCTGTCTTTCCTCTGAAGGCACAGAGGTTCAGCTAGAGCCTTCTCCCCAGGGTCACAGGGTACGTGGAAGTTAGTTCTGCCACACTCCTAAGTACCCTGCAGCTAAGGCAAGGGAGCCTGTGAACTGTACCACTGTAAACTCCTTGTGTGTGCGGGCATGATTCAGGGGAGTTGTATCGTACTGCAGCCTCCAGAGACAGCCATCCCGGAGTGTTCATTCAGGGCCATCTGTTCTCCTTCCTAATGAAAAAGTGGTGCCCGGGTGCTTAACTGCCATAGTTGGACAGGTACGGCAGAACGATGTCCTGCAAATTCTAAGGCCTGTGAAAAGGTCAGATTCTATCTGGCTGTTGCCCCTGGGATATCTATCCTTGGATCCCGGACCCATGAGTGCTGATGTTGGGTGGACAACCCCAGCCCATGGCTCAGCTGACAGCAAGTACCACTTGGGTGCTGAGCATTCTGAGGAGTCTTTCCTCTGGAGCCCTGGCATCTTCCAGCTGAGGCCCCAGGTGTCACAGAACAGTGGCATCCAATACTAACCATGTCTTGTTCCAAATCCAGGTCCTAAGGAACAGTGAGGTGTGCACTGAGTGCTGTATGGTGACCCAGGCAAGCTTGGAGTGGTTTGATCTCTCTTGTACTCCAAAGCTCTGTAGCTGGCGCCCAGTGGGTACGTTTAGCATTTATGGACTGAATGGTTGAGGTCTAGCAAAAAGGATTAATCTTGACCGCCGAGCTGAATCACCTGGCGGACAAAGCCGAGTGTGTCTATGAGGGTGTCTGCAAAGAGGCTTAACCTGCATGCGGGCGGGAGAAGGCCCGGAAGAGACTGATAAAGGGAGAACGTGAGTTGTGCGCTGCTGTCCATCTGCCTCATGACTGCCAACGCAGTGTGATTGGCTGCCACCCTCCCTGCTGCCATGCCCCCCCCCCCATGACGGGATGAATCCTAAACCCGCTGGGGGCCAAAACAAACTTTCTCTCTGTGAGTTGCTTTGTCCAGTATCTCGATGTAGCAAGAAGAAAAGTGACTCAAACAGAGATGACGATTCCAGTCTGGTCTTTCCATCACGGCTCATCTTTTCTTCATTCTCTCTCCAGGGCTCCACCGCTCACAGGGATCCCAGGGTGGCCCAAGCCTACCTCAGTGACATTACTAAGTCTTAGAACAACCAACCCCATAAGCTTTCCTGGACCCACGAGATCCTCCTGCTGCAGCTGCTTGAGATGGGATTTCCAGGACTAACCTCCTGGGTCACCCTCAGATCCACAGGCCTCAACATGTACACCAGCCCCGTGTGTGTACACGTGCATGCACCAGAGCAAAAGTTGTCAGAGGACAACTTTGTGGAGCTGGTTCTCTCTTTCTACCTTTATGGTTTTGAACGCGGGTCACCAGGCTAGGGTGGCAAGTGCATGGCCCACTAAGCCATCTCAATGCCCCTGCTTCAAACATTTTCCTGTTCTCTCCATTCTGTAGGCCACATACACCACATGACAGAGCTGAGGATGAGTGGGGACAATAATAACAAAGAGGACACTTGAATGAAGCTCGTCCAACACCGAGCTTTATGAAATGGTAATAATAGGAAAGTTTGACTGGTGGTCTAAGCCTGGGCTTTGGCTGCAGACACCCCACGTCAGAGCCCTTTCTAATCCCGTTAAGGTAAGAGAAGAGAGGCATGGTAGAGAGGACGTGGCTTGTTCAAGTTCACACAGTAAAGGGATGAGCTGATCTTCACAAACCAGGTCATGCAAATTCTTCTACCTTCTTACAAAAATCACTTCCATTGACTGAGCTCTCAAAAGCAGGCCTGTGTGCCATCCTTGGGAAGTGTTGCTATTACCCTATTATACAGACAGGAAACCCAAGGTTGGGGCTGCTGCTGAGTGCTGAGGAAGCAGAGCTATGATTGCCACCCCATCTCTATCACCACCATCTCGCCAGGTAGCATTTCAAAAGATTATGTCCAAGGTCATCAGTGGTCAGGATCCCCAGAGGAGGGCAAAGCTTACCCATACCTGACACCAGACCAACGGTTTTTCTACTAGGTCTCGCCACCGTTAACATCGTGACCGCCAGCTACGGGAAGCTCTCCGGGTGCTTCCATAGCTGAAGGCACTACCAGCCCCTACCGCCTCGCCATGTCTCAGACCAACTGGTGCTTTCACTAGGCTGGAAATGGGGACACTAGGCTACTGGGTGCTCCTGAGGAGACCTGTGGAACTCTGAAATCTTTGGAGCTTGAAATTCCGGCATGAGTTAAGGGCCTTCCCCAGTTTTTTAGGAATGACATGGTGCCTCTGCCTGCATCTACTCCCAGCCTTTGATTCCTTCTTCAGCCTCCCTCCCTAGTCCTGCTCAGCCTCCCCAACCCAATCTACTGAACACTAAACCCACTCCTGTCAGCTAGCTCCCTGCTGCCATCTCCAGCCCACACAGCACCTCTTCCATGGAGCTGACTTGCCTACTCCCTTCCCTCTGGCTCTAAGACCTCTGCCTCACGTACCTGGCATCCAATTGCTGCCCCATCACACCTAATTATTAAATTGGCCTCCTCTTTCTCTCTCTCTCTCTCTCTCTCTCTGAGATTGTTCTCTCCGGGCAGCCCAGGCTGATCTGGAATTCACTGATGGTCCTTCTACCTCTGCCTCCCAAGCGCCGAGATTCTGGGTATGGTTTACCATTCGCAGCTTAAACTGATTTCATGGGTTTTAGGTGTATAAATGTTTTGCTGTGTGTGTGTGTGTGTGTGTGTGCCGTGCACGTGCGCTGAAGCCAGAAGAGCACATTGGATCCCCTGAACGAGCTGAGCTGTAAGGTTGTGTGGAGCAGCATGGGTTCTGAGACCTGAACCTGGGTTCTTTGCAAGAGCAGCAACTAGTGCTCTTTGCTGAGGAGCCCCTTCAGCTGACTTTAGGTTAACAGGTGGCGGGTGATGGTGGGTTTGAGCTGCTTTTTCCTTCAGTGAGTTTCCCGGGCACCCACCTTTTTAACCATGTGCAGACAAGAATGACTTTAACATTTCACCCCAGTGTCTTCTCATGCAGAGGATGGCCACAGCTCCCACTGGAATTCAGCTTTTGGGGCTGCCAGCTGAGGGTCTTCGGGAGTCTGTGGTAAAAGCTGCCTTCTGCCACAAGTGGAGAAAGCAATGGTTTCTTGTACTAAATTGCTGTGGACACCAAATGCACCCTCTGATTGTAGCAACAGGACCTTGACCAGCACCAGGAGACCGAGGCGTCGTCTCTCAAGCTTTATATTCCCAAATTCACATCTGCAGAGGATCTGTGGCTCTGAGACTGCTCTGCACTCCTACAGGGCTATCTACTCTTTGCCTCTCACCTGTGCCTCTATACATGTCCTGGACACAGACAACTACTCTTAACAGAAGTGTGGGAAGGCTCCAGGGTGTGGGCACCTGTTGCCATGCTGGGGATGAGAGGAATCAATTTCTTCCTGCACAGCCCACGCCTGTGTCTCTGACGAGCTAACACCCACCAGGCATTCAGCTCTGCCTCAAGCTGCTCTGCCTCTTTATGGGCTCCAGGCAGCTGTGAGCCATGCGGTGACAGGCTGGGGATGGGCACCAGCCCTCCCGGCAGCTGTCTCCCTGCCTCCTGCAGCTAAAGGACAGTTAGAGCTTATTAACGCCACAGGTCACCCTGTCCCTTTGGCTCCTCCAAACCCAGTTATTACCCGTCACCTCCCTGTCTCTGGAAAAGCCCTTCCTGATCAATGCCCCTGCCAAGACGCTTATTCAGAACCATGGTTCCTCAGCTGTGGAGGAACAACTCTGTGTGTTGCCTTGTCCTCTGGCTGTTTTGGATGAACAGGACTAACCTCTGAAGCTAAAGAGGATTGAGAGTACACCACACCTAGAAGGCACTGGGAGCCTTCCCAGGGAAGTCCTTGGAAAGTTCAAAAAAACCCAGGCTTTGCCCCACACCAGGTGGCTCAGAGCCTCCGAGGGCTGAGCCCTAAACCCAGACTTTAAGAGCCCTCCAGGAAGTGGCCAAGGCTGAGAAGCACTTTAGTGACAGGCAATGGGCTTGTTGTTGCGGTGGCGCCCTCTCCTCTTCTGCCCTGGACTAGAGAAGCCTTAGCAGCTCTCCAGCAGAGCTGTCATTAGTGGCTGGAAGGAGGGCTCTAAAACATCACCACAGGGATGGCTGAGCCAGTCAGCCTCTCACGTGGCCAGTCCCCTCAAGTACCCTGAATTGGGTATAACTGCCTGCCACTATTTTACTAGGGACTGGGGAGGCTGCTCCCACAGACCTTTCAACTTTAAGACCCAAAGGTGGTCAGTTTCCTGAATTCTCTCCAGCCTGGTTGGCACAGGTTTTCATCATGTGGCCCATGCCTTTCCCCCTTTTAATTTTTCTACTACTGTTGTTGAGGCCCTATGACCATATGGGCCATAACATAAGTCGCCATGGATTTATTTTATTTCATTATTTTTCCTTCTGTGGACTCTAAAGCTATTGCCTGAACGGGCCTGGCTGGGCTGAGGCGCCTCCTGCAGGCCCCTGACATGCTAGCTTGTGACCATGGGACTACCTACCATGTGCTGATGACCGCCCTGAAGTTGCCATTCCCAACAACAGACATGGTGTGTCCTGAAGGCCACCAGGCGGGGAGCACAGAGCCCTGAGCCAGGCGTGGAGTGGGAGAAGGCCTAAAAAGTGTACTGGACAAACAGGGAAGGGCTGGCTTCTCACCCTGCGGTACTTTACTCAGGAAACAGCGACATAGTCAGTGGTGGACATTACCAGCCAAAGACCACTTAAGGCCCTTCCTGCTGGTCTAGCATAGCGGAACCGGTGAAAGCCGAGCACGGTCCGTGGGGGAGCATCTAGTCTTGGAATGGCATTCCTGTCTACCACAGAGGCGACACCTGCATGACAGTCATCTGGGCAACGCAGTGTCCATTCTGCCTTCACACTGAGAGACTAGTCAAAGCAAACTGCCTTCACACAGCCATTTCTAAAAGCTCCCAGGGACCATGACGGAGAGCCACATGGATGAAATGGGGAGGTATGCTGCAATACAGGTTCTGCTGCATTGGAGGGGGCAAGGCCCTGCCAGACCCCCAAACCTCTTCCCATCCTGTTTCCTCAAGTCTCTTGTGTGCTGAATCAGGGGAAAGAGGATGGGAGGAATGACGCTTTGAGAAATGTTTTCCATGCCTGTCTGTAGCATGTCAGAGCGCTGAGGGAAGGACTGGACAGCATGGAGTCCTGAAAGCTTCTGGGGTTTCCTTGATCTTTTGTCAGCCCCTAAGTTCCAAAGCAGAACCACTGCTCCTGCAGAGAAACTTGCCCCTAAAGGGAACCAGACCAATGCTGTTTAAAGCATCAAGCAAGGGCCACTGAGGACTAGCTATGAGTGAAGATATGTCGCCCCCTAGTGGCAAGGTGTGGGTATGGCACCACCTTGCACACAAACATTCCCACAGCATAGCATGACATGCTTCCCTAACAGGCTGCCCTGCTGCCTGTTTCTAGCAGAGCATCTTCAGGGGACTCAGGCAGGCTGATAGAGTTGGGACTATAAGCACATAAGGAGGCAGCTTCTCTGGAAAGCCACTAAGACTTAGCCCATTGTCTGCACAGCAGGCATAACACAGCACCTAACTCAGGTTTGGCAAGACTGGCAGTGAGGAACGGGTTACCTCGCCTACACAAAGGGCTATGGGGTAGCAGGCAGGATGAAGGGTTTGACGGTCTTGGCCTGAGGACAGGTGACACCCATCCTATTCAGCCAGGAACATGCTTCTCTGAGGCTTCTCTGAGGATACACTTCTCCCAGAGTGTATCCAGGCTTTATGACCCGTGTTTGAGCTTTCCTCCAATATGACATGCCTCTCCTTTCATCTGTTTATAGTCCTAACTTTGTATTTCAGCTTCATCTATTTCCTTCTATGTATATGCCTTGGACCTTGGTAAGTCAGAAGGGGGCAGATCCTCAAGAACTGTAGTTACGTGAACCACCATATGGTTGCTGGGAATCAAACCCAGGTACTCTGGGAGAGCAGCCAGTGCTCTTACTGCTGAACCATCACCCCAGGCCCTATTCCCTTGTCTTTTATTATGTGTCCCTGCAGTGCTGAGGGTGGAACACAGTGCGGTATGAATGCAAGGCAAGCACTCTGTCACAGAGTGACAACCCCAGCCCCCTCGTTGTTTCTGAGAGTCCTCAGCTCTTCTGGAATGAGGTAGGCTACATTGAGACTTCATTTGGGACTTGCCAGGTCTTGTTCTTTACGCATATATGGAGAAGCGGTTCCAGATTCTTTCCAATGCTATCATCTTTAAGGGGATGGCTCCCTAGGAAGTAGCAGCTCCAACACACACAGACAGGATTACCTGGGAACCTTCAGGACTATTTGCAGTCAGAGGGTCTGGGGATGTCCCAAGAGCCTATGCTTTCACATTCTCCAGCAGCTTCTGAGGCAGCCACCAGCCCATGCTCTGAAACCGTGTGTGTGAATGGTTCTAGCCTGGAAACAAAGGGGTAGTCATGACAAAGATGCCACATGCTTTTTTAAAGTTTTCTAAATAAATCCCAACTTTATTCAGCAAACATGTTCTGAAAACAAGGGGTGTAAATATAATTTGTCAATGAGAGCTATTTAAGTTCAACAGAGCAAGCTGGCTTTCAAGAAAGAGCCTAAAGTGAAACCTATAAAATCTACCATTTACTTGGTCCTTGAATTTAAACATTGCTTAAAGTGGCCATACCTACAATACATGTCTATTTAATCTAGTCTTAGGTTCCTTCTGGCACCCTACCTGCTTCAGCTCATGTCACACTGCACCAAGGTGCACACACCATCTGCCAGGCTGGAGCTTCTGGCGAGCTCCACTAAGAACTCAGCCCCTCATCCACTAGAGGGCATACCACTCAGGCTCAGGCCCCTTCCCTCTGCTGGAGGCTGCAGCAACAGTTGCACTCCATCAGGTCAGGTGGATGTCACACGGCACTGAGTGGAAATGCAAGGGTGAGTAGCCAGCTCAACACCCCCTTGGAGTCCACACCCTCTGGCTACCATTCCCTACTTCGGGGCCGTAGAGACACCACCCCACCACAAACTTTATTCCAAAGTAGGGAGACCTGGCTTTGAAGGTGGAACATCAAGTTCATCAAAGCCAAGCATTGCTACAAAGGCAGAACACTGTTATATACTACAAAACACTGTCCCAACAGTCAGTGAAGGGCAGGGGGCTGGGGGCTTCTGCTACCCACACTCTGAGTCCAAATGGATCAGTTGCAGCTTGCACACCTTCCAAAGCATGCTGTCTGGTGGGATGTTCAAATGCCAGGGGGCACAGGAGTCAGGTCTATGCAGTCTAAACAACTTTATGGCAAGCCAAGAGGTCATGCCCATCTGCCTCCTCCAAGTGAGATCTAGGTCTGAAAGCTGCAAGCCTCCTCTCCCCTCTAGGACCATTGTTTTCACTCTGCAGGACTATGGGTTCTTCCTAGAGGGGTCACAGATTCCTCCTTTCTGGCCATCTAGGGACCATTTAGCCTAGAGAAGGAATGACAGACACTGCATTTGAGCAGAACTGAGACTGGGACCCAGGAAACCCAGGTTAAGTGTATACAATTGAAAAAGTTCCCCAAAGAGATGCCACACTGTACCTAAGAGACTGATACTGCTACTCAAGAGAGAAGAGGTGAAATGTAACACATACTGTGAAGAGGGAAACAGCATAGAACACTTAAGCAAACATAGGAAGTGGGCAGAGCAATCAAAGATTAATACTGACCAGGTTTCCAGTTCTGGGTGTCTGTTTGTCCTACCAGGAGGCTACTAAATTTAGAAGTGTTTGGGTGAGCAGGGCCTGTGCCTGATGAACAATGGACTCACTAGATCGTCTGGTACTTTCAGATTTCAGAGATTAATCACAGTAAGTGTGCTCGAGATATGTTAACTTCCAAACAAATCCTGCAGTTCACCAGGTATTGATATAGCATTAATCACGACTAGGAAAAGTAAAAATGAACTGGCCCCACAAACAGTCTCACAAAAACACACTTACCAAGGACATCTCCAGGGTAGCCTATCAGGGCTGGGGAAGATGGAGGCTCAGCTGATTGATATATCACTAATATAATTAAAGGGAGATAGTCAAAGAATTTGAGGTGGCAGAACTAGATAAATCTGTAACTGACAATCACCCTTTGCTCAGAGCTGCTTTCTAAGTTTAGAAAGTCTTGGCACTCCCACCCAGGGTGGGCAAAAGACCCACCCTAAACTGTCTAAACTGTAAGCCAACTGCTGTACTAACTGAAAAAAACACTGGTGACTCAGGACTTCAGTGTCCAGACTGAACACTTCTCAGAACCCTGCTGGCCTCACTTCCGGAAGGACAAACCACTAGCTAACATGGCATGGAAATGCTTTTATGTTAAGCAGCTGCACTGACGTTCTGCTTCTCTGGAGCAGCTGCTTCCAGGGAAGGTGCCGGTGTTAGCAGCTAGTCACCGTCACACTCTGTTTTCTTAGGGGCTGGGGCTGGGTAGTGGCTAGAAGCAAGGATGCAAACTCTTCTATCCCAGAAGGCACAAGGAAAGACCTCTCTCCTCATCTTCTCTCTTGTGCTCCAGTCCACCCATTAGGAGCCACAAAGACTGGGTGATGACAAGGAGTGAACAGTGTGGACAGTCCTGGCTGCAAGCCTCTCTGTGCAGGCTTTCCAGGGTGAGCATCAGCTGTGTAGACAAACCACAAACCCACTCATCCCTCCCCAGGGAGAGCCAGAGAGCAGGGTCTCCATACCACACATCTTGGTGACCCTAGCTCCCACTCCCCAGATGTCCCGGAAAACAAAGCAGGTTTGATACTAAGCCACAATTAGTCCTGGGGGAAGGGGTGTCTTCACAGTTAAGGCATACATTTCAAAAGGTGGCCTCCCAGCCCACTTCTTGCTTGCACATGCACACAGTGGGAAGGCTGTCAGTGCTGGGTACAGCTGGCTCATGTCAGGTACTGTACCACAAGGAACATAACTGCACAGGTGAGCAGCATCCCACCGATCATGAAGTACTTGTCCTGGAAGGCCCGCTTCTCAATCAGCCTCATCACTGTGTTGGACAAGCCAAGCATGTTGGCGATGTCAAGGATCTTTTTCTGGGTCCCCTGAGGAAACGAGAAGGGAAAGAGAAACAAAGATCAACCTCATTGCCAAGGGTGGTTAAAGGTCACCACAAGCCAGGGTTTTACTAACAGACACTGTCCTCTTGGTCGTGCCCAGAGAAGAAAGTAAGTCACCAGAAATAGACTCACTCTACCATGGCCAACCAGTGTTTGGTCAAAGGGAAAGAAGCCTTGTCTACAAATGGTGCTAGAACTGGCTACAGAGCGTATATGCAGCACACACATACATATGTACAGTTCACATATGAGCAAAAGGTGACGCTCGAGTCATATTACATACAGAAACTGAGGGCTGGGAGATGGGTAACAATGCTTGCTGCGCAGGCACGAGGACCTGAGTTTGGGTCCCCAGAATCCATGTGAAACACCAAGTGCTGTAGGGAGCTGAGACAGGAGGACTGCTGTCTAGCACCAGATTCAGCGAGAGGTACCATCAGAGAGTGATGGAGGACACACGCGCACACACACGCACAACATGCACATGGCTCAGCAATCAAAAGAACCAAACATGTTGTAACCTAACGGAACCGCCACACACAACAGTATGGATACAGTCATATGAAGCTCAGTAGCCAGTACACCAATATTTACAGGATTTTACCAAACTTTTTAAACAACTTTTTCACACCTAAGTCAATTAGTGACAATTGTATTGCATATGTATCCCAGCAGACATATTCCCGCTAAAATCACAGATGAACTATATACAAGTATCTTTTCTGGAGCTCATTAAATTTTTAGAGGAAAAGTGGCTCAAATGGAACAAATAAGCTCAGAACACTAGAGGGGAAAAACCTGTAAGAGTGGTGAAGATTACTTACCCAGTGTACCGCACCTATCTTTTAATATTGTTATTATGCTTGTTTTCCTAAGTAGCCCAGGATGGTCTGGAACGCATGGCGTCCCTCAGCCTCCCCAGTACTAGGATTCTAGGCATGTGCTGCCACATCCGGCCTTTCTACCCTTTGAAAAGCACACGAGTGTGTACCATGTGCATCGAAGCTGAGACTCTGCACTGCCAAGCGGAGAGCCACTGCACACTAGAGCCGCTGCGAGTGGGGAGCCTGCGGCAGAGGGGCAGGTGAGCAGAAGGCAGACTCCAGGCAGACCAGACTGTTCAAATCTTGCTGGGTCAGAGGCTGGCCTGTCTGTAGGGCCTCCATACTTTACCGGGTTCTGTTTTGTTCCATACTTGCTTGCTTCATTATTCTGTAATTACGGCAAAGGGGTCCAACCAGTTCAAGCATGCCAAACCACACTTCAAAGTATCTTACTCAAACATTTCTACTTTTCTGAAAATACACCAATTTCTGCATACAATTTTTAAAATATTAATTTATGTGTATGTGTGTGCACCACATGCATGCAGGAGCCTGCAGAAGTCAGAAGGATACCCTGGAACTGGAGTGACAGACACTTAGCAGCAATGTGGGTGGTAGGGATCAAATATAGGTCCCCAAAAGAACAGCTTTCATCTGCTGAGAGATCTCCTGCCCTACAAACCATTATTTTTAAGGTGAACCTTAAAGCAGTTGATCTTGGGGTCAAGGACTGCTGTTATTGCTCTTGGGCACAGGACTGGTATATGAGTTACGAGACAGTGGTGAGCAGGAGCAACTAGTTGGTCTTCTCCAGGAAGGCTTACATACAGCCTGAGACACTGTTGGCACACAAAGTAGCACTTACCACAATAGAGCTCCTGAACACTGAGCAGCTTGTAGATCACAGCTCTCAAGTAGTTCCATTTTAGCCTTGCAGTTTTTAATGTCTCAGGGCTGCTTTCATTTATACACAGTATAGAATGTAATGTGACAAAGTCTTCTTTCTTAACACTCATGTCTTATCAGCTGTGCTAGTGCCATGATTTCTTAGGCAGCTGACAGTCCTTGGGTCTGGGGCCCAGCCATGACCCAGGAGGTGGAAGCAGTGCTGCTTGGCCCAGTTACCTGAAATGTTCTATCATTACCAGTTTTCCTAAAACTTCTACAATGGGTGACAGACAAACATTACCTAGACACACATACTTAGCCATCTTCCTGTGAACACTCCTGAAATATCTTACATTCTTAAAAGCTGTGTGAAAAACTTCTTTGGCTCCAGTAATCTTTCATAATGACCTATTCACTTTGAGGAGCAGAATCTTTAGGGCTTCTACTGAATATGTGAATAAAAGTCAATATTTACAAGGGAGTGAAAAAAGAAGCACAGACAGAAATACAACAAAGGCTGGGCTTGGTGGTACATACATTTAATCCTAGCAGCTGGGAGGCAGAAGAGAGATCACAGAAGACCTCTGTGAATTCCAAGGCTAGCCAGGGATACACAGAGACCCTGTCTTGGAAGGAAGAAGGGAAGGAGGGAAGGAAGAAGGGAGAGAGGGTGGAAGGAGGGAGGGAAAAACAACAGATTATCATGACATAAAGCTTCTATAAATGTTGCCACCCACCACAGTCAACTGCCTATAAAGCACATGGCCTGTCCCTCCTCACTGCTAACTTTTAAGCATATACTCAGTTTCTTATGAAGTAATGAAACTAAGTACATGGCTCCCACTGTGCTTAGGTGGTCCAGCCTTCAGGCCCATATTCATTTTCTAGAAGGAGTACCCATGACCAAACTACTGAAAGAAGATGCCAAGTGAGAGAGATGCAAAGTAACACAGACAGGAACTCAGTCTACCCAGTCAAGGATCAACAAGCAACAAGCCTCATCAAGAAGGATCTTGAGCCAGGCCCGGGGAATGGTGCCACACACCATTAATCTCAGCACCCAGGATGCAGAGGCAGGCAGACCTCTGTGAGTTTGAAGCCAGCCTGCTCGATATAGTGGGTTCCAGGCCAGCCAATGCTATGTAATGAGACACTGTCTCAAAAACCAAAAGCATATTGGGCTGGGGAATGTGGCTCATTGGTAGAGTGATTGGTTAGCATGCATTGCATTTGATTTCTATACTGCAAAATGGATATCTCAAGTCAAAGCTGTCTGCTGTTAAGAGACTAGAAAAAGTCTTCCCAACGGTGAGAAAATAAGGCCTGTGCTAACCACCCTGCTTTAGAATCAAAGTACAGACTACTCTTTGGCCATGCCTACCAAAGCTACCTGAAAGTGACCATTAATTTAAAAAAAGTATCTATTCCCAACTATAAAATCAAAGTGATTATTCCAGCTCTTTCCTGTTCCCCTGATCATCTCAGTTTAAAAAGAAATTCACTGGCCAGGCAGGAAGAGATCTAGAGACAAGACAGGAAGAAGAGGGACACAGAGAAAAGTGAATCAGAAAACACAAGGTTTAAGACCTGCCACCTGGACAGGCTTTCTGGCAAGCCACATCTGCTAATAGTGCTCGTGGACGTCTCGCTGACACAGACTTCAGGAGGAAGCTAACACTCCACCAATAATCCCAACCACACTAGCCCTGCAGTAGCGCCACATGGATGCAGTTTATAAAAGTCTTGACTCTCCCTGAGCTGCAGAAAAGAAGGCAGATTTCCTTCATCTTTTATTTGGGGTAATCTTTACATGATTTGTATTTTTATCTGTCAGTATCTGGCTACGCTAGCTCTCAAATGTACTAACTATTAGGTTATTTGCCTTGTTCCCTGTTTGATAATATTAGCTTCTGGGTTTGTCTATATTGCCCTTACTATACATAGGTCATTTATCTCATTACTTTTCAAAGTTCTTACTAATATATTCCAATTGAAGCCCCCTCTCAACTCCCCTCATTCCCACCCTTCCTCCCTCTTCCCTCTATCCCCTTTGCCTAGTCCACTGAAAGGGGGCGTTCTCCTCTATTACCATCTGCCCATAGCTTGTTAAGTCTCATCAGGACTGCCTGGATCCTCTTCCTCAGTGGCCTGGCAAGGCTGCATCATCAGGAGCAAGTGATCAAAGAGCAGTCAACTGAGTTCATGATAGAGGCAGCCCCTGCTCCCCTCAGATAGAAAATTAAAATTTATATTTTTATCAATAATTTCAAAAACTTATGTAAGTAAACATCGCTAGAAAATAAAAACCTAAATATTCATTTTAACAGATCTCTTCCTTATCTTACTGTATAAACAGATGATAAAATGATAGAGATCCTAGTCTCTGGAGGAGCCAGACATGGTGACTAAGTATAAGGAAATGGTGTATTCTTGACACCTTAGGGCACCTGCACATATGAGCTCACTGCAGTTGGGACACTGCATACAAGACCTATACAAGCCTACATGAGATGGAGAGCAGAGTTGAGTATGAGACGCTACCCTCAGTCACTGAGCTGCTAGGAACTGTTAGCTTCTGGGAGAGGGAAAGTAAATTTTCTCAAAGAAAACAGCCCCTGGTAAGTTGACTATGCTCCAGAGAAGGCCATGCATCCAAAAGTATCTGGGCAGCCCAAACTGGTCTTAATGGGAAGTGGAGGAAAGGACATAAAACTAAGTGTACAGAGAAGGGGAAGTAGAACTGGAAAGAGTTTGGGGAGGAGTAAATATTATCAAAACACACAATACCTTTTTTTCAAAGAAGTAATAAAAATTTAAAGAAGAAGAAGGTAGTTCCCTACAAAGGCTGGCCAACGAGTATCTGTGCAGACTTCTTCAGTGGTTGTGCTCCACAGTGAGCACCCTCTTAGGCCACTGGAAGTGCTGTAACAGTCAGCAGGAGGGGAGCAGCAACAGGCCTATCTATTCCTCTCCCGCTCAGAAACAAGCTGGAAGCCTACACAACAGACAGCTCAATGTGCTCCAATAAAAACTAAGATAGCAGTCACACTTCCAAGTGACTATTTCTCACAGCCTTGTGGTGGCAGTGCTTTATTCCAAAGGACCACACCCTGATAACAAACGGAGCCCACACCCCCAAGCCATCAGGGGTGATACAGGAAAAGGCTGAGGCTGAAACACCATGACTGACAGCAATCTGTGAAATGTTTCTGTAAACCACCCCAGGGTCAGGGTTTCAAATCTATCCTATTTTATAACTTAGTACTAACAGGGTAGCTTTCTTGGAGTACCTGTGGCTACAAGAAGAGATACATGGGGACCACCTTCTAGAAACTCCCTACTGCAGACCTGGGCACTCTGAAGACACTACTTCTGTGGTGAGTCCAAAACAAAGCCTCCATCATAACAAACCTCACAGCCGGAGTCCCAAACAAAACCACCTTAGAAGACTACCTTGCCTCCATTCCTAGGAGAACAACTCTAAAGAAGCATTTCTCAGCCTGTCATTGGTACCCTTTATGGCAACCTCATTTCATGCAGGGCCAGTAAAAGGGCAAAGCCCTAGCTATCCACTGGGGTTCGTCACAAGCACTGGCAAACTCTCGAACTCAAGAGCTTAGGCTTACTGTCACATCATGAGCTGGAGACACAGAAACAAAATACAAACACAGATGCTACACTATAGTACAAGGCCAAAATAAGAGGCCTTCTCTCTGTTCTCCAGCAGGGACCCCACCTTCAAGGTCAGTCTCTGGGCCCTCAGTCCCTCCAGAATACTGTGCCCGCCTCCAATGAGGTCATCCATGCCGTGGTGAATGTTCTGAAGGGAGGAGTTAAACTGCAGTGATTCGTCCATGGGTATGGTGGTGTCAGAGTCCTGTGAAAGAAATGCAGGCACTTGATTAACTTTGCTTGCTAGTCAGCTCCTGAGGTCTGGCCACATCTTACTACTCTGCCTTTTGGCCAAGGTCAAGCCAGAAGAGCCAGGGAGAGTAATGCAAGAATCAGAGTCCAACACAGAAGAAAAGGCAAAGCAGAGGTGTGTGTATGGGGTGGGGGGGTGGGGACGGGTCTGCATACACACAGCAGAGGAGGTGTAAGACCAGTCATGTTCTGGAATGAACTCTGCTACAATGCTGATTTCTGCATCTGTCACATTTCCCCACTGAGGAAAAGCTTCAAGACCTCACTCATTTCTCTAAAGATTTTCTCTGGCTCCTCCCAAAGATAGCTGTTCAAATGTTCCTTTACACGGCTGCTTGCTCATGTGCTATTACATGTTTGCTTTTGTTCTTTAGCTATTTTATCTACAGCTTATCCCTCCGATTACACTGAGCCTACAGATCAAAGGGGCAGTACTTTCTACTGAAGGCTTAAGGGTGTTCAGGATGGGAACACACTTCTGAGGAGGCAGGAAAAGGCTGCTAAAGAAAGAAAGGGAGGGGGAGGAAGAAAGAAGACTACAGGTTGAGTACAGGCTATTTGAAATGCTTGGGAACTAAGTGCCTCAGATTTCAGAACTTTGCAGACTTTGGAATGGATTTACCTGCTGAGCCTTTCTTTGGATTCTGGACTTTCAGACTGAAGACGCCCTATCAGTACAGACCACAAGTCTTTTTACTTCACAGGCCCATTTCCCTAAACTCGCTCAGTTTGCTGGAAGTGATTTCTGTTCTCCCCATTTTGCAGATGAAGAAAGTGAAGCCCAGAAGGATGGATTAACTGATCCAGACAGATAGGTTCCCAGGGCTAAGTGCACAGCCTCAATTTTAACCACACTGTAAGTCAGAAACACTGAGAGTGATCCTGGTGGCTTTGCTCTCATACAAACTATGGACTGGGAAGAGGACCAAGCTGTCACGAGCTGTGAGCTCTCCTTCCTGCTGTCTGACCGGCACAACCTCCAGCAGTGCCCCTTCTACCACAGAAACTCTGATTCCCACTGGCAGATGATTACACCATTTGTTCTGCTACTCAAGTTCAGAACCAGCCTTGAGGCGGACATTCTGAAATCTCCCTGTTAACATGGGAGCTCATCAAAGGGAGGAGCCATGCTTAGTAACTTTCTCCAATGTTTTACTTGGTACAACTCTCACAACTCCCCTCATCTGACAAGCACTTACTGAATGACTTTACACACAAACCTGCCTTGCCTTCCCATCTGAAAAGGGGCAAGTGGCAGGCTGTTCCCATGTAAAGTGCCTAGAAGGAAGTTTCATTTGGTCAGTCGGTGTTTGAGTGACCTGGTGAATGTGGTGCCACATAAGGCTAGCAATCAACAAAATCATCCTGAGACATCATCTCTAGCCTAAAGATGCCCAAGTGTGGCGCATCATGTAGGGTTATCTTAATTAGCATCTTCCAGCATGCTGCATTTGTGAATTGTAGACCACCACAGTCTGCCTGTCTACCTGCTCTGGAAAAACAAAACTGTGAAGCCATGTCCCCAGGCACTTGGAGAAATGCACTGCAGCAGGGAGATGGAGCAGGGGGTTTATCCTCCAGCCAGTGGAAATCAAGGTTTCTGTGGTAGAAGGGGCACAGCCTGGCAGGAAGGAGAGCACTCACAGCTGATGACATCTTGGTCCTCTCCCCAGCCCAGTCTGTGTGAGATCAGAGCCACCAGGATTGCTCTCAGTGTTTCTACAGTGTGGTTACACATGTGCAAAGCCAGGAATTCGACTGGCAGGCAGGTTTAAAAAGTGACAAAATACAAAGTTTGGTAGAGCACACTCCACAGGACCCTGAAAAGCCCAGTACATTGCACTTGCAGAAAATGATCCTACTGAAGCTAGAGGGCAGGGGTGGGGCTTCTAAGCAATCAAACATGCAAACCAACAGGCTGTTCCGAGACTGAAGCCAAGCAATCCATCTAACACTAAACATCTGTTAACAAGTCCCTCCAGACTGCCATTCAGACCAGGGGCAAAAACATTTTAATGCATCTGAGGTTGGAACCACACACATACAAAACACAATGGCAAGTGCCTGGGGCAGCTTTTGGATTCTGTTGTCTCTACAGATGGGTTAAGTTCTAATCATCTGTCTCTATCTGATCACAAAAACATCTCGACCATGTGAACTTCCACCTCTGCAGCGGACCAGTCGAATGGAGTAATTTTCGTCTCTGCCCACTCCTTCAATTTAACTGCTTCCTCCTCAGGTTTTTGTGTTGAAGAGAAATTCTCCATCTCAGTATGGTCTTAGTGGCAATGCACAAGGTCCCCTGTCATTTCCACCTGGCCTCCTCCACCTGGCCTCCTCTTGAGCCGGCTTCATACACCCCTCTAAGAAGTGATGTCTGGTGACCTGCACTCAGTCCTGACACCTGTCAGGTGCCTGCCAACCCCCAGTGTCTGGCTTACGTTAGTGGTAAAGGCACGAGACAAAAGCTCCTCCCGCTGTTGCTCTTGTTGCTCCTTGGCATAGCGCCGGTGCTGAAAGTTCCTGAGGGCAGTCTGCAGGTGCTGGACATCATACTTTAGCTGGTCGACACGGCTGAAATTAATGGAGACAGAAATTAAATTCCAGGAGCTGAGGGTGGTACACTCTGAGGCAGCCCAGCTTGGTACTCAGGGGGAAAGACCTTGCCTCACCACTCCCCCAGTGCCCACACCTAAGCTGATGAGCAAAGACATTAAGTCAAGCGGCAGCCTGTGGTTAAGGTGGGTGGGATCACACACGATTCCAGAAGCTTTACTTAGTGTGTGCTGGACCCTTACTCTTCGGGGAATGGGTAACAGGAAGCAGGCTTGACAGCCCCTTCCTGACCTTCCTCAAGGGCAGCTCTGAGGTAGATCAGCAATGAAGTTTCTTGAAAGTTGTGGGAGTGAAGGGGTTGGAGTGGTGCTGAGGGTAGTTTCCTTTGAATTTCATGGTGGAGTATCAAACATTCAATCAGTACTTCATTATAAACAGACTGATTGAAGCGATTAGGAGTGCAAGTTCATTTCAGCCCCACAGAAGCCAGTGGGAACCAAACAACACAGCCAAACTCCCAGCAGCACCAAGCTTTCAGTGACAAGGTCTGGTCAAAACACACACATTTTCAAAGAAATAAGGGCGCCTAATCACCCCCCAAGAAATAAAAAGCCATGGTCACAGGCTACTGAGCCACAAACCTCATACTTTTTAATATGGAGGGTGTATTGCTTAAATAGAGCTGTATATTTTAGGGAGACTTTATCTTTGTACAGTCTTCATTTCTTTAGCATGTTCCCAGATTTTCAGAATATTCTATAGCTTCCAATGGGGGAAAGGCCTGCCTGCATGTGCCTGCGGTATCAGAGTCATGACAGCGGTCAACACTCACAGTTTAGCGTTCTGCCTTTTATTAGGGGGCTCTTTGCTTGACAAAATCTCCAGACGCTCCAGATGGCTGAATACCTGGTCTATGCTTGCTTGGATTTCATTTTCTACCACTGCACAAAATAGAGAGAAAGAGAGAGAGAGAAAAAAAAAGAGTAACTGCTGGAAAAGAGATAATGAACTTAAATTAGGAGTGATAAATCGTGCTGGGTGTGATGGCGCACACCTTTGATCCCAGCACTCGGGGAGGCAGAGGCAGGTGGATTGCTCTAAGTTAGAGGCCAGCCTGGTCTACAAAGTGAGTCCAGACTTAGGGACTATTACACAGAGAAACCCTGTTTCGATAAACCAAAAACCAACCCCCCCCCAAAAAAAAAAAAAGTAAAAGTAAAACTGATAAATTGTGCTGATCAATGGTGGCTCATGCCTTTAATCCCAGCACTCAGAAGGCAGAGGCAGGCAAATCTCTGAGTTCAAGGCCAGCCTGATCTACAGTGAGTTCCAGGACAGCCAAAGTTACAAAGAGAAACGCTGTCTCAAAAGACCAAAACAAATAACAACAAAAATCAAACAGAGCACAATATACACAAAGATGATTCAATTCAAGATGTTTCAAAGCATGGGTATCCTTATATGCACGAAGCCACACACTTAGCTGCCTTGTTTTCTGTATTTAAAGTAGAAGGCATGTCTGTAGACATAAACTCCCCACCCATAGGAAATAAAATGAACATTTAAAGGCTGCCCATAGAACTCTGTTAAGCTAAATTTTCTGTTATACATCTACTTGAGATTGGTCTCAGATGTGGATTATAAACCCCTAGTAAAAAGGTTGCCGGCTGAACTCCTTATAGTAATGAGGCTAAGAGAAAAGTAAAAAGCATAAAGGAAGGGAGGATTAGTATGGAAACACCCAGAGGCTTTCTAAAAGAATGGGTAGGCTGAGATGTGTTGGAGGCCTCAAAATAGACCACATATCAATAGGAAAGACCCAGGAAAGAACCCACAGAGGCAGAAAGTGTGACAGCCATTTTCCTTATCCCCTTTGATAAAGCTGTCAAAATGACCTCTTTCCATTTCTAATCTGGCAACAGTGAGATTGTTGGGAAGGCAACAAAGGCCAATGGGCAGAAACCAAACTTCGAAAAGCATGAATCCAGGCAGTTGCCAGCTGCTGTCACCACCAAAAAAATGACAACCCAGAACCACCCTCTTCCTAGGCCTTCACACCTACAGCAAACACTGATAGTTTAGAGCAGTGTAGGGCGCAGAGCTAAGGAAAGAGCCATGCTGAGGGACCTATAAAAAAAAAAAAAAGAGGAAACAGAAACAGGACTGGCTAGAGCTGGGCAGCAGGGTGACATGAGTTTCTGTGGGAGGTCTACAGGGCTGGCTCAGAAGGGGCTTTTGCTAGGAACAGAGACAAAACTCCCAACCACAACCCACATGCTTCTCAAAAGAAACTGCTGTGGGAACTAAACTAATTAATATTGCTAGTTGTATGAATAATCCTACTAAGAAGCCAGAATTCTCAGCTCAGAAGAGATGGCCAGTTCCAGGTCAACATGTCTGAATTTTCAGACTAGGTAATTAGATTAAGACAGATGGAGAGAGAACTTCTATTCCCATAGGGCCATGTCAGGTTGAGTGGAGGGGTAATGGGAGATAAAACTGGTGGGACTCCAAAGGGCACAATCAGGGAAATCTTTGCGTTGGCCATAGGGTTTTTCTGTTCATCCTAACAACAACTCATTCCATGCTGAGTCATTAAGCCCCCGAGGCAGAATGCAGTCAGGAAACCCAGCCCATTAGCCCCGTGTTGTAAGAGAAAGGACTCTGCTCTCCCTGGTTAATTACTCACAGTGCACAGACTGCTTGTCTGCTGTCTCCAGGCGTCCCATGTGAGACTGGATCTCGTGGACCTGCCTAGCAAAGGAAAAGGGAGGAAATGAGTGAGACAGGAATAATCACTAACACTTCAGTCAGGAAAGACAACTTTTCCTAGTGCCATCTTACAACTGATTTAAATTGGCAGGGCTGCTGAACTGTAAAATGTGTATGTGGTGCTTTAGGCCACCCATTTGGCATCGCCTCTAATACCCTAATGCTAATAATAATCCTGCTAGCATTTACTGAGTGCTTACTGTATCTGAGACACTGCTAAGTCAATAACCCTGAAAGGAAAAGCACTATCACTGCTCTCATTTTAGAAATAAAAACTGAAACCCAGAAAGGTCATGTAAGTTGCTCAAGGACACACAGCCGGCGATAAACCTCAACCAGGACCCAGCCAATCCCACTCTCTGCTCTGTGACCCAATGTGCTGAGCACTAGTCTGTCCACCAAGGGTCAAAGGGCAGGGGAGAGAGAATCCTTGCCCCGAGAAACAATGTAATTAGGAACTGACAAGCCAGATGGACATGAAAAATCCCTGAGAAGATTTACGAGAAAACCAACACAATAAGCAGAAACAAGCAGAAAGTTGAGGGAGGAGTTGTGAATAGTGCAGCAAAGGCAACAGGAAGGCTGGGGCTAAGAAAGTGTAAACTGAATTTTCGTGGGTAGAAGTTGTGTTTGCTTGTTTTTGAGACAAGATCTCATTTATACAGCCAAGATTCCCCTTGAACTTGTGATCCTCCTGCCTCAGTCTACGCAGTGCTAGATACAGTTGTGCATGCCACCATATGGGATTTGGAGTTCTCAGCATCACTTTGAAGAACGTAAATGAGGTTTAGTGACGCTTGGAAGACAATGAGATGCAGAAGTTACACAAAGCATTTCACGTAGCGTAAAAGCTGGCTGGAATGCTTAGAGGGCAGTCAGAGTGAGAAAGAACAGAAGGGAGTAGGCAGTGGAAGAAACACTTAAGAGGACAGCTCTGAAAGATAGGTATCTTCTGTTTGGTAAACATCTTTCCCTGAAATAGGAGGGGGACTGCCATCTCATTTGGATGCCGCATGTCCCAGACATTAGGCCTGGAGCATTCTCTGGAGACTTTCCAGGCCAAAGTCACCTTCCGAACCCTTCCTAGTGGTTCCCCATCACTTGTCAGCTCTTAGAATGCTGCTTATGTTAGCCCCAATGGCCTCCTGTGCTTATACAAGGCTGTCCACACAGAGCCTGTGTAAAGGGGCCTCATCTCCAGCCCTTAAGAGAAAGGTCAATATCTTTATCCACTAAAATTTTACCAGGGCCAGCCAGAGCCCCAATCTGGTTTCAGTGTGTCTCTAGTCTTTTCCATGGCTTTCTAAGTGTGACCTATAACACCAGAGAGCCAATCCAGCTGTCTAAGAATTCCTGGATGCACCAAGGCAAGCCTTGTGATCCTGAGAAGCAACCAGAAATCACAACTGGGACCTGTCAGCTGCTTCAGGAAGGGAAATTCAGGGTGCTTTGGAAGGGGTAGGGCGGGGTAGGGGCATTTGAAGTACAGAGGCTGGTGCAAGGATGCAGATGGAGGTAGTTGATATATGGACACCTGGGAGAGGACAACAGCTGTGGACTGGTGTGGTGACAGGCAGGAAAGTTATAATTCTTATTAGCAGAAGTAGAACATAGGCAATGAGGTAAATTTGTAATAAAAATGTAAAGCAAATCAAAATGTTGCTGTCATTACCACAGGAACAACAAAAATAAAAATAAAACAACAATTAAAAAACCATAATCAATACAATTCTGAAAAAGTATATGAAGTTGATTCTCATACCCGTTACTAAGGCTTACCACAATGTAGGCCTGATGATAGAAACCTATCATTCCATTTATGTGGGAGGCTGAGTTAGGAGAACTGAAAGTTCAAGGCCAACCTAGGCAACTTAGTGCGACTCTCTCTCAAAATAAAAAGCGAAAATAAGCTGAGGCTACAGCTCAGTGATAGAACACTCAGCTCACATGTACAAGGACCTAGTTTTAATCCTCATACCTCAACAAGACAAAACAGGCTGATTACGAAGCCAGGTAATTATAATAATCTGACAGCAGCGCAAGGACAAAGACAGACAACCTTACTCTGGACCCACAAGCAAAGAACAGGGCCAGAAGCAGCCGCATACTTGTGGACTGGGAGACATAAGTTAATTGGAAAAGAATGAACTTAAATAAATGCTGACAGCTCAGTTTGTCATCTGAGTAGAGAAGAGAGTTCATGGAATCCTCCCAACCAAAATCCTCAAGATGGTTCAAACCTAAACATAAAAAACCAAAATCTTTGAGTTTACTTAAAAAGAAAAAAAAATAAGAAAAGAAAAGCTCTTCGTGTGCAAGCTACCTTTCCTGGGTAAGTGCAGCTACCACCCCTCCTCAAAGAAGCCTCTCTTTACAGCAAATGGGAAGATCACAGAACACCACAACTGGACACAATGCAAAGATCAATAGGTCATGCTCCAATGAATACATCTACATCACAGGCCCCGCATCTGTGGCTCAGGGAACATCAAGGAATGGGAAGCAGAAACAGTGCATGAGCCAGAATACCAGGAAGTCAGCTGTGAAACAGTCTCTCCCAGAAATGGCTGCATAACCAAGACCGGTACAATGGCTGTATCATTAGACCTATTAACGTGGAAGTGGGAAATCTGTTCAGGGTCCCACCCCTAGATCAATAACTACAAGCAACTAAGAACTGCTGGGAGAACGAGAATTAGATTCTTCCAGGGACAAGGCCCTTTATTGATTGCCCAATGCAGAGTGGTCAGCCTTGAAACCCAATATACACAAACAACAAAAACAGACTCAGCAGGTTGTACTTAGAGGTATTTGTGCATATACACATACATACACACACACACACACACACACACATGCACATATGTATGTGTGTGTATGTAACAATAATAACCAAAGAAAAGATGTAAGAAAGACCATCAACTTGAGAGTGGGTCAGCATGGGAGCGGTTCAACGGAAGGTAGCTAGGTGGGGCTGGAGGGAGGAAAGCAAAGGGGAAAAATAATGTAATTCTCTTTCAATTAAGAACCATATAAAATAATAACTTAAGTTTAAAGGGTATGCATAAATGATGTTGAGTTAAAGAACCCTCAACCCTGGTCAAGTCCAAAAGCCCCCCCCCCCAAGAAAAGGACAAGTAAATTTGACTAATAAGACAAACTATACTAAAAGTACCTATCAAGAAATAAGCAAATACATCTGTAGCTGATAACAAAAGGACTGATGTCCAGAATATATATGTAAAGAACCCTTGCAAATTAAAAGAAGTCCAATGCGCAAGTGACAGAAAAGAAAACAGAGAGTAAGTAAATACATAAAAAGTTGATCAACTTCAATGGTAACATAGAAAAACACATGTTCAAACCAATAAGATCACATTCTGACTATCAGGAACCTGACAACACAGACACAGGTTGGCAGTCCAAACATGATTGTCTCAAACCTGCCTGGCAGGGTTATACACTGGTGAAATGCTTCAGAAGCCTTCTGATGACACCTGGACCACCACTCCGCACACTGCATGACCCAAGATCACACTTTTAGCAGTAAGTCTTAGAGATTCTGGCTTATATCAAAGACTTGTAATAGATGTTTATCAAAGCATTTCTGTATGGGTCTATAACCCACAGCCACACATAAAAACTTGTAAGTTTGTAGCAAATCAATTATGTGGGGAAAATTGATCAGACTTAAAGCTATGGTCTTTGTTTATTCCACAAAGTCTGACATTTTATTGCTCCTTTCATGTGTCCTATGCTGTTCTTATGTTACATGACAAAAGACACATGCAACATATATATAATTTTGAGACAGGGTCTCTCTATTATGTAGCACTGGCTGTCCCAGAACTCACTATATAGGCCAGGCTGTCCTCAAACTCACAGAGATCCATCTGCCTCTCTGCCTCCCTAGTGCTGGGATTAAAGGCACCACCTTGCAACATAATTCTCTCTGAAAATCTAAAAATAGATAAATAAATAAATAAATAAATAATAAAAAGAAAGAAAGAAAGAAAACAAAACACACACACACACAAAACCACAACAACAACAAAATTTCAAAGTTCCTTGTGGTTAAGGGTTTCAAGTAAAGAACTGTGGATCTATTCTATTCTTGCATATGTCTATTGAGAGACATATGCAAATAATCTGTTATAATATAATAACTACCGACATGTTCATCAGGAAAGAATTCAGTAATTTAGCATAGTAAATAAAAGCTAGTAGGGTGGGCAAGAAAGCTCAGTGGGTGACAGGGCAGACTGCTAAGCCTGATGACCTGAGTTTGGTCACCAGAAGCTATATGGTAGAAAAAAATAACCAGTTCCTGCAAGTTTTCAAGTTGTCTTCTGATCTCCACACTTTGGCTCATCTGTCCACACAAACGTACACACACACACACACACACACACACACACACACACACAATTAAAATGTTAATAAAAGCTTGATCTAGTATGGATATTAAGTCTTTAAGACAAAGATGATATTAAATGGAGAAATACGCCTGGTACATTAAATATCTGGTTGAGTAAATTAAAAAACAGGTAGCACGTATTTCTTTTGAACACAAGCATGGGAAGAATACTACAATCACTGACAGGAGGCTGACTAGCTCTGGGGATGCAAACAGGTGTAAGTACTTTTGATTCAGATTCTTTATAAATCAATAATCTGAAACACATATTAATATAAATCCTAACATTGGGTGAAGTTACTCTTTATTTTTATGTTTGCAGTATTTCAGAAATAAAATGACTAAGAATAATAGTTTTTCCCAAATGTTAATGGTTTAATGAAACTCATTAGTTATTCATTCATTTACATATTCAACAAAAAGTGGGCTATATAGTCACAATGGCCCATGGGAAAGGGGGAAATGAAACCACAGGTCATCTACAATAAGAAAGGACACAATGAGGACAGTAACTGTAAATCGTGGCTGATTTAAAGAGGTGTTGGTTTCTTCCACAGTAGCTATAATAAATGGAGCCTGGAGACAGTACAGCTTGAGATTTGTGGCAGGCTAAACAAGGACACCAAGGGATGCTCTTTAAATATCTGGAATGGACATAAGATGTAGAAAAAGGGTTGTCTCCTACTTCTGCTTTGGGGGTTCCCAAAGCAAAGAGCACATGTTCCAAGATGCCACATTTCAGCTTTCCAAAGGAAACAAGTCACACAATTACAAGCTGACTTCTTGGGGGGAGGGGAGAGCACCCCTACACGTGCAATACCAGGTCCACGGACTGTCTGGACCTTACAAGGGTCTTCACAGCCAAAGACAGAACTGGATGCTCTTGTCAGTCCCTGTCAAGTCGAAGATTCTCAGAGCTTGGAGAAGCTCTCGTTGGCCAGCTTTGTTATACTACGCTAAAAGGGGTAATTTTAAGACATTGCAGAGAAACATTACTGACTTCCCCCACTTAATTTTTATTCGGCTCTAAATGAGTTAGAAAAGGCATAGCCTTTTCTAGGGAGTCTGGGTTCTGCATTCCATGCTGGGAGATAAGTGCAAACAATATGGCAAGTGGGAGTGGCATGGTGGAAGCTATTGATACAGAACCTGCTGAATCTATTTCTGTTCAACCAGACAACACCTACACAGCCAAGAGACTGGTGATAATCCAAATATGACTTGGGGTGTAGAAATGAGAAAAAGACATCTCAGACTTGTCTAGCATGGGGCCCACCATGACTTTGGGTGATAATACAGCCAAGTAGGGAGCTAGTAAACATTAAACAAAGCTTTACATATGTCGTAGCAAGAATCTTAAATGGAACTGCTCTTTAAAGGAGTCAGTGAATCTGTTGGGCCTAGTGGTGGTAATGTCTGTAATCCCAGGAGGATCTTAAATTCGAAAACAGCATCATACAACATACATGTGGAAAAAAAAAAGTCATAAAATTACCAAGCCACCTCCACCATACACAGGTCACTCTGCATGACCATCTAGAACAAGATACAAGGTTTGAGAGTTTTAAGGATCGCAGTTGCAAATCTGGTTCAACTATGCAGGCTGACAGATACTTGGCAAGTCATTTAAGTCCTTGGTGCCTGCTTCTCAACTATCCGAGCTACTAATGGTAACAATTATCTCAAAGACTACAGAACCCACTGCAATATGAAATGCTGTGTAACCTAAAACAGCATCAAGTTAAACTGCTGTTGCTCTTAAATGAGTGTGGTGGTATAATCTTTAATCCCAACACCCAAGAGACAGAGGCAGATGGATCTCTATGAGTTCCAGGCGAGTCTGGTTTTCATAGTGAGCTCCAGGTCAGCTAGGCCTACACGGTGAGACTCTTTCCTCAAACAAACAAACAAACAAACAAACAAACAAACAAGTGGATGGATGGATAGGTAGGTAGATAGGTAGGTAGATGATAGGTTGAGTGGTGGGTTATAGATAGAGTGGTGGGAGATAGATAGATAGACAGACAGACAGACAGACAGACAGACAGATAGATAGATAGATAGATATAGATAGAGTGGTAGGTTAACCTGGGTATAGTCGTCTTAGCACTTGGGACAAAGACACAGGTGGACTGTCAAGTTCAAGGCCAGCCTGAGCCACACCACAAGTTATAGGTTAACCTCAGCTATGTAGGGAAATCCTGTCTTGAACACACACAGAAGCAGTAGGAACCACCTGGTGATTTTCACATCTTCTGCTTCCGTAGCTAGCCTTTACCTCATAAGGCAAGCTGACAAATTGGTCTTGAGATAATAGTTCTTAAAACTAACTACTCATTAAAAACACCTGAAAAGTCTGTTCACTGTAGAGCTGTTTGTATCTGAGACCTACTTAACCCAAACTATCTAGAGATCTAGGATGGCACGCTGCACAATGTAAGGAACAAATGTATCTTACAAACATGAGTATCTCAAAACTAGAAGTCAGGCCATTAGCTTCTCTATAAAGTTCATCTTAGTAGAATACTGCTGCCGTGTAAAAGGTTTTCTTTTTCTCATTCATTTGGTGCTCAGGACTCTTCCAGTTGTATGACTTTAAATAATTGATTTAATGTCAATGTACTTTCACAGTAGGAGATAATCACAAATTTGGTTCAAAGTTCTAGTGAGATGATTATGTTCTGATGCTGTTTTGTCAATTCAGCAATTAGATTAGCCTCGATGCACTGTGAGGCCCATGTGTCTTGCTATGTAAAGGATCTGTTCTTAGTAACAGGAGTGTCCTTTTCTGCTTCATTCCTTTTCCAAATGACTCACAGGCTAGTTTTTTTTTTTTTAATCTTTTCCTATAACTATAAAGTGCAAATTGTCATTACAATGTAGTTTATTTTCCCTCACATGAATCGAACACTTTGTTGCCAAAGTAAAAAGAAAACTATAACCTTGGAATATCAGAAAGTAAGACAATAACCACCATTTTATTTCCATTCCTTTTGTTATGAGGGAGGCCAGATGATTAGTTTCATTTTTCAGGCCCAAGGAGTATTATTTTTTTTTCAGTGTCTTAAGATCAAAGCTACAGCATTAACGGAAAGTTTTTAACATCGCATAGGTGTGGACCCTCATCATGTCCAGCTACATAACACAAGTCCCCAAACCATAGGACGATATGAATAAAGGACGCATCAGGGAAACTTAGTTATGAGAAGCTAATCGAAAACAATTTCCTGAAAGCTAACTTGTAATCAGGTATGACCAACAATAAGAGTTAATACCACCTGCATTTCTTTGTGTCACAGAAATATGTTCAAAACCCAGTCAAGTACACAAAACACTTTTTTCATACAAGCCGACACTCCCACTAGGCAGTGAACTCACGGACACAAGCCTTGTCAACAGCTTCTCTGTTCTCTCAAGTTCTACCAACCCGAGGACTAAGTTAGCAGGTGCTGGACAGAGTACTATAGCCTACGATTGCTACTTTTCCTTCCCAAATGAACGGTCACGGCTTTCAGCAGAAGCTACCCGGCCCAAGACTTCGCGCCCAGGCCAGACCCCTCGCGGCTGAGTGGGCATCCCGCTAAGGGGCTAAGAGGTGCGAAGCCGCTCCAGCGGAAACGCTCGGCCTCCACAATGACAGCCGCCCGAGCCCCTGCCCCCGAGCCCCAGGGGCCACAGCCCGGGCAGTGCCCAGCCCGCTCCCCAACGCGGCCCTCACTTGTGCGTTTGTTGGTACAGCGGCTCCATAACGCCGGCCAAGCCGGCCTGCAGCTTCCTTGGAACACGTCCTCACAGTCCACTTCCGGCTTCCGGTCTCAGGGCCCGCCCTTTTGAGTAGGACGCCGGCGACTGTGCCTGTCCCGCGGTGCTTGCAAAGTCGGAGAAGGGGTTACGGGAAAGGAAAGCAGGGCGCGAGAGATGGGTGTGGCCCGAGGCTTGGCCGCGCGGGAAGCGACTGGGGAGGTTTTTGCTGAAGCCCAGCTTCGGGATTGAATCAGGTACCGGAGAGGACGGTCGCGAGGTACTGACGTCAGCGCCTCAGCGAGAAGTCGCTGGCCGCTTTCTGGACTTCGTGCTTCCGTAAGCGTTCCGGCTTGGCTTCGCCTGGAACTGTGTGTAATTACTGGCCTGGGGCTTTCGCTCCTCAGACGGATGCTTTTCTCGAACTTGTCCGCCTTCTAGCCTTCTCATGTCCTTTTCATTTCCAGTAAACTCACAGTGAGTGAGAGTGGGTAGCTTGTGCCCTGTGTGAACAACCAAATTCCTCCAGTTCTTCAAGAGGTTGGACTAGGGGGGAAACCGATCTGTATACAAATAAGCGTCCCAAAAGGTAGAAAATCCCAATAAATGCAAATACAATGAACTTGGCTGTGGTTGTTGTTAATGGGAAATTTTTAAAAGACGTGAAGGGCGGGTCCACATTTGGATTAGGACTTGGAAGGGCTCAAACACTTGTCTTCACCTAGGTCCATCTCATTTCCATCCATCTAGGTTATCTACAGTTCCTCCCAAGGGAGGAGTTGTTCCTCTTCCTTTGGTGAATTGAGGCTTCTATTATCCTGTACCCTGCATACCCAGTTTTGTGTCCCAAGAGACTGCCTGCCAATATTCATTTTTTCCCTAACATCAAATTTCTCACTTCCCCTCATCATTATTGAACATCTACTATGTACAATGCACAAATTTGTGAAATAGGAACACAAGCAAAACACATTTCCTGAAGTTTCTCCTCTCATTGACTTAGAAGGTTCTTACCTTGTGGCTGAATTAGCAATCAGCATTTAGGCTATCACTGATGTAAGGAACATTTCCCTGGAGAGGAGTTCATGGATCGAGAAGAATGGGTAAAGGGCCTTCAAGAATCAGTAGAGGTTTTGTGGGGAGGGCTGCACTTCAGCTCTGGTTGAATGGGCAGTGTGAGTTAGAGGGCAGGATTAGATAAAAGGCTATTTTTATTAGTTGAGGGATGCACAGGAAAATGTGTACGCATGTCTGTGCACGCTTGTGTGTATCATGGTAGAATTGTTTCTGGATTGTGTGGGGCCCCAGGTAAATATTTTTGTGGGCCTTGCGGTATAGACCTTTGATTTTAAATTGTATTACAGAATTTATGGTCCCATATGAGGAACAGTAAAAATAAATAATAGAAAAAAAGGAGCATCCATATTCGTTTATTTTTATAATAAATATGGCAAAGATTCCTTAAAATATTCTTTAAAATATTAAAATATCAAAATAGAGACTGTGAGTCTCTATTTTGGCCCAGCAACTATATCTGTTCTTGTCCTTTATTTTTGAATGTACTATTTCTGGCCACCATGAGAAAGAGAGAGAGAGAGAATAAAGCTGTTATCATTTATAATGCCGTGGCTCTTCAAGACCTGTCTGCATTGGTCTCGGTAGCTTTTCTTGCCTTTCCAGTTCCTTGTGCCATTTGCTTAGTGCTGGCTGTGCTGTCACTCATGACGCTGCACTGCCTTCTCTCTGCTGGTGGCTACTGACTCAATGCTTTGCTGGTGATGGCAGCAGCTGCAAGAATTGCCCGTAGCGTGCACTGTGTTTGCTAGTTAGTTCTCTCCTCGCTGTGACTCATGCTGAGGAGAAGCTTCTTAGGAGAGGAAGGGTTTATTTTGGCTCACAGTGTGAGAAGATACCATCCATCCTGGCAGCAAAGTCATGTGGCAGGCAGTTCTCACCATGCTGGGAAGGCCACTACTTGCTACATCTCAGGAGACCAGGAAACAAGGAAGAAGGCTACCCCTCTTTTGCTTTCTCCTGTTCTATCCTATTTCTCTTATTTAGTCTGGGATGTCAACCCTTGGGGTGGTGACAACCACATTCACTGAGTAGTCTCCCTTTATGCAGCCCTTTCTGGAAGTACCCTCTCAGACAAACCATGGGTATGCCTCGCTTGTGCCCTTCAGGTTTCTTTTTTTCTTATTTATGTGTGTGTGTGGCTGTGTGAGCAAGAGTGAGTGCGGATGGAGTTACTGGTGGTTGTGAGCCATCGGATATGAGTGTTGGGAACTGAACTCTGGTCCTCTGGAAGAGCAACGAGATATCTCTCCAGCGACCCCTGTGCAATGAAGTTGACACTCTGAGATTTGCCATAGCAAATATTCTCAAGAACATGAAAGAATTCAGTTAGGAATTTTTGTAGGGTCTGTGTACAACAATATAGCATCTACTGCATTCCTAGAAAGTGATTTTTTTTTCAGTGTTTACTGCACCCAGGCTTCCACACACTGAAACCAGTTGGTAGAGGCAGGGGGAGGGTTGCTTAGGAGGCCTCTGAAAGAGAAGTCCTATTCTTGCAAGGGGCATCTGGCTCTCACCTGACACAGCTTGAGACTGACCTGGTAGCTCATGATCATTGATCACAGGTAACAAAGGAGATTGACTGCAAAACGCAGTTGGCCTTAAAAAGTAATAATATCAAATGGAAATCGTTATGGTCACTGCTGAAGAACTGCCGGCATGCAGTGTAAATCTGTAGGGGCCCTTCGGGGCCTCTGCCCAAGTTCCTGTCCCTGACACTAAGAAATGCATGGATGATGTTTAAGCCACTGAATCTTCTTTTAGCAGGGGGTGGGGCTGGGAGATAGGGGTTGTGCATTGAGTCCAAGATAGCTTCAAAAATTTCTATTTTCCTGCCTCAGTCTCCTACATGCTTGCATTAAAGGTGTGTCTTAAGCCACATCTGGCTTTAAGCAATTAAAACCATACTTTTAATTGGTTTGTTATGTAGCAAAATAGATACTTGACCTGAAAGAGTTAATCTAGTCAGGGTGATAAGGATCAGGGCTTATGAAAAACTAATAATGCATGATAGCATATAAATCTGTCGTGGGGGTAGGGGCTGAGGCTGCAGCTCAGTGATAGATCACGTGCCTAGCACGCGTAGGCCCTAGACTCAATACCCAGTATCACAAAGGGAGAGGTAGAGATACAAGCAAGAAGGAGATGTTCTCAAACTGGGATGGGGAAGCTTTCCAGAGACAGCGTTTCAGCAGACCTTAAAGCTCATGGGCCGCTTGTGGTGAGAAGTAGACCAGGGTATCCCGGCAAGTGGAGAGGTTAAGCAGGAAAGGCGTGCTCAGGTCTCGGCTAGAGTAGAGGGTTTCCGAAGCAGAGAAGGCTGAGGCTTCTTGTGGGTTGTGGAGGTTGGTGAAGTGACAAACAGGAAAAGTTCTCTCCTCCCCCTTGGAATGTGGGGACTTCTGGGGGGTGTTAGGCCTCAGAAAGGATGGTGTGGTCTTCATGCTTTCTCTTCTGTTTGAATCTTTGGAAGCTCACAGTGCTAGGGTTCCAGGATCTCAAACACCACTTCACACCTAGCCTGTTTGTTCCCATTTGTGGGGTAGCAAACTTGGAACACAACTACTAAAAATGATTAGGTGTGGTTGTGTATGTCTGCAATCCCCACAATCCCCGCAATCCCCACAACTTAGGAAGCAGCAGCAAAAGGAACATGAATTTGTTACAGTTTGGGCCACAAAGGGAGATCCTTTTTTGGAAAAAAAAAAAAAAAAAAAGTTCTGGCCAGCCATGGTTGCACACACCTTTAATCCCAGTACACATTCAGGAGGCAGAGGCAGGCAGATTTCTGTGAGTTCAAGGTTAGCCAGGCCTACAGAGTGAGATCCTGTCTCAAGATGGATAGATGGATGGATAGATAGATAGATAGATAGATAGATAGATAGATAGATAGATAGAGCGAGCCTACCTGTTCATCAGGATGAAGGTTGTTTTTGTTTGTTTGTTTGTTTACCTTGAAAACCAAATCAGTTTATATCTCTGCTATCATGATCAGATATCCTCTTGTCACACAGAACCCACCTCATTAGCCTTGTCCCTGACCATACTCCTGTGCTGACTGTGGTAATCTCCATTCTCCCCACAAGGGCCTCTGTCCCTTCCGGCCTTTGGATCTGCTATTCCCTGTGTGTCTAACACCGTTCCCTCTGCCTCAGGCCTGACCAGTTTCCACTTGCTCTTCAAGCTCCAAATGTGATCCACCTCCCATGGGGAGCACCCTCAAGACCCAGGCTGTAGATCCTCACCAAACCTTGTTTCCCTTTGGACCCTGTGCTCCCTCTTAGCACTCAGAACAGAAGTCTCCACTGTCTGCCATCCTCGGGGCAGGAGATGCATCTTTTGTCACTCAGAGCCTAATAAGAGACAGGTGCTTATTAAATGTCTGTTCCCCTGGAGTTGGGTTTTAGCACTGTGGTAGAATGTTTGCCTAGGACGTCCTAGATTCAACCCCCAGTATCACAAAAACAGTCACCGCAAATGGATTTTTTGTAATCGCTTATTCTCCGGAGTATTTTTCATGGCTCTGCATTCCAGAAACTAAATTATTAGAAAACTGACTTTTAGATGGTTCAAAACTGCCCCTACCACAAGGATCTGGGCTCTGTCCCAGCACTGCAGAAGAGTAAAACAGAATCAGCAACAAAAGTCCACCCACAGCAGGAGAGCCATCCTCTGTGAAAAGTCAAATTTTAGAGTGGGCGTAGTGCTGGGTGAAATGCCTCCTTCAAACTAACACCCACTAACACTAACACCCACTTCTCCTTCTGTGCTTGGAGGCAGGACCAACATCACCATCCTGCTTGTCTACACAGAGACACTGAGCTGTGGAGAACCTAACCTGGCCCAGGCTGACTAAAGATGGAAGAGGACAAGGCCCAGATTATAGTCACATGCCACCCTCCAGGCAGCTGCTGTATCATCATCCTGCCTAACTGACCCAAAGAGCTTATCACAGATAAACAGGTCACCTCTGGATCGGGTCAGCTTTAGACAATAGCTTTCATCACCCGCC